CCATGCTGTTTGTCACTGGCAACTCTCCTGCTAGAGCTGTTCTGAGCAGCTGGAGGCCACATTCTGCAGCTCAGGTCCATGGGGATGTTGGCGGCCTCTCTTTTGTTAGGCTCATCATAGGTCTCAGATTCAAGTTACTGGACAGCAATCTCTGCTCCCCATTAGAGTTTATTCTCCTGCTGTACACCAACACCGATGAATTGAATGAGATTATTCATAATCAAATCTATGGACTGAAATGTGAGCCAAAATAAACATTTGCTCCTTTAACATGTGTGTGTCAGGTATTTTGTCTCAGTGATGAAGGAAGTAACTAAGACTGTTGTGGTCTCAGTGTCAGGACTACCTGACCCCAGCACCAGGTATGGATTGGCACCCCAGTGGGCCTGACTCATGCTTTGTCCTGTGTCACCTCCAGCTGAGGTGTAGACCCTGGGCACACTCCTGAGACTGCACATGTGCCTGCGGCTGTGAGGCCCAAGTTCAACCCCGCTTAGCATCAGTCTTGGCAGTGAGTGAATGCTGCAGTGAACACCTTTTCCAAGCCCCTTAGTGCAGTAATTGTAAAAGTGTTTCTATTATCTATGGACCTGCAAATGGAAATCGTGGGTTGTGGTTTTTTAACTTTGTTGGAATTGGAAAAATTGCTCTACCTACTTCTTGTATTCATTTATACTTAAACCAATGATGTGTGGAAAAACAACTTTCTGTTTTTATCCTTGCCAGAATTTAAAACAATTTTATTGCTTTCTTTTTATTTTTACTTATTACCTGGAAAATTATACTCACTGGTTTACATTTCCATGAACTGAATGAGACCAGTCATCTTTTCATGTATTAATCAGCCACTCAATTTTCCTTACCTGTGAATCTTCTGTTCAAAGCATTTGGCAACCTTCTATTTAGTTATTGGTTTGCAGAATTGCATTTAGGTGCCAGTGATACAGGAATTTCCCTATCTGTCAAGAGACAGTAAGCATTACCAGCCACTAGGACATCTCAGTACTTTCTAGCCAAATGCCCCATTCATTCCGCAATGGAATCTGAAATGAGTGTTAGCTGTGGCCCATGACAACATTTTAATGAATTTACATGATTGATAACTCTCCAAAATATTTTACTTTTAGTTAATAGGAAATATAATACAGCTTCACTTCACACCTCTACTTTATGGACAATTTAAAAAATTACAGGAATACCAAATAGTTTCTCTAGTGTGAGAAACTGAAAGTGTAAATAAGGACTATAAGGTATAATAAATAATATGAAATAGGAAGAAAAGGGGCAAAGAGGAGGGGGAAGTGGAAGAGGTAGGGGAAGGGAGAGAAGGGAATGGGATTAATATGAGAAAATGGAAACA